TGTTCTTTGGCGAAGTTGTTGTTTTCGTTTATTTGTTCACTCTTATGCGCACGTAGATCTTTGGAAATCATATTTTCCCAATATCTATTACGGATGCGGTGGTGGGTGTGACCGCGATGGTGCTTCATTAGGTGGTGGTGGTAGGGTTCGTCTAAGCTCATGGGTTGTTTTAGGGTTTTGGTTATGTTGGGTTTGTGGGCTTAGTTTGGGCTTAGTTTGGGCTTATAGTTAATTGTGATGATGTGGGCTGGTAGTTTTAGTGCGACTTTTGTCCGTGTTAGTTGTGTTTTTAGCGGCTCGTTTGGGAGTGATTATGTAGAAGCGATTTTACTCATTAGTGATTTTAACATAATCACTTTATGTTAGTAGCGCTTTTCCGCAAAATCAGTTATCGTTTGGCTACCAACATAAAAGTGCTTTTATATTGTAAAAAAGTGATTTTGATGTTATTCGTAGTGTTTGGCTTCCCAAAGAAAAAAGTGATTGTTTAGCTTCAAATCATACTTCTTGAAAACGAAATGTGAATAAAACATATTGTTAATCGACACAAATATCAAGTAGACATAAGAAGATTTGCAATTCTCTCGCGTTCGTCATCCATCTCTCGTGCACGAGTTACATTTTCTTGTACAATAGTCTCTTCCGTACTAGTCCTTCCGTCATCTGTTTGGGGAAGTAACTCTTCATCATCATCATATGGTTGGAACTCTACATCCGTCATTGAATGAATTCTTATGAAGTTATGGAGAGCCATTGAAGCAACAACGACTTGTACTTGTTTTTCCAAAGGAAAATTATGAATTTGACGTACCATTCTCCATCGGTTTTTCCAAACACCAAATGTTCTTTCAATTGTGCATCTTAGAGATGAATGCCTGTGATTGAAGATTTCTTTTTTCCCTCTTGGTTGGCTTCCTCGTCGGAAATCCGGAAGATGATATCGCTCACCCCTATAAGGGCCTAAATATCCTTTCATTTGTGGATAGCCAGCATCAACCAGATAATATTTACCTATATATATATATATGTGAATCAGTAAAGGAAAATATTGATATAAGAAACATATCCAAGGTGAAATAGTAAAGGAAAATATTTCACTTGATGACATTTTGATTACTAACCAGTAGGTGGATGTGGAAATTTCAATGTTGGTATTCTTAAGGCCTCCATGAATATACGTGCATCGTGAGCAGCACCCTCCCATCCAGCCCAAGCAAATGTAAAGCACATATTAAAATCACATACAGCCATGATATTTTGGGTAGTGATACCTTTTCTACCAATATAAGGTACTTGCCTTTGTCTAGGCACAACAACTGGTACATGTGTTCCATCAATTGCCCCGATGCAATCTTTAAAGTATGGCCAGTATCGATTATCATCTTTAATTTTCTTTGGAACTCTCTTGAATTCAGGATCACTAGGACTTATGAGATCAGTAGCCATTCGAGATATAGCTTCTAATATTATCCCAAACCACCTTGACACAGTCTCCCCTGAATGCTGGAACCTTTCTTGTACCATTCTATTAGTAAAGCCATGACCTAATGTGATAAGAAACATTGCTAAAGCCTCTAGTAATGGTATTTCTCCACCTTCTTTCAAACCATAGGTACTTGTAAGGGTCTCCAACAATTTCTGAAACACATGTTTTTCCATCCTAAATTGTTCATGACACCTTACCTCATGGCCATTCAAAACTTCAATTACCCATTTATACCCAGTATAAGAAGAAGTCCTGCATGGTTCTTTATCAACATATTTAAGCCATTCAGACACAACCACCACACACCCTACAGATATTAAGTCATAAAATTCATCATCACTATCATCTGACAAAGAGTCAGTATTATCACCATCACTGTTGCTTGAACTCATGTCTGTACAATTGAAAAAACCAAATAAACAAAACAATATAAGCATCTTTCCAACAAAAGTAATCCATTTAGATAATGTAAGCAATTCAATAAATGTCAAACACAATAATATGTCCACCATTCCATATTGTAAAAAATAAAATGATAATAAACTAATAACATTCCAATACTGAACCGATGAAGCTTTAAAAAAAAGTGTGACACATTAAACTTTCTTGTTTGTAAGCCACATCACTTGTCGGTTTGGTTGTTTTAACGCAATAAACATCTCCCTATTTTTTCTTTCAGTTAAGATATCAGCAGCTTTCATGAAAAGGTCATCATCATTGACAATTTCTGGAATTCCTTCAACCACCTGCATCACTTCCTCAATGCTACAACCAGCCTTGTCTTTGCTTTTAAAAGTGCTACTTCGATTTTCAATTGCATGTAAAATAGAATCTAACCGCTTTGTCACCTTAACCCCAACTCCAGGTCTTTTCGAATCTCTTTTCCTTTTATTGTCAGTTTCAACATCAACTATATCCTCAAGTCCAACATTAAGATCAGTATTATACCCAAAGTCATCTTGTTCCTCAACCAGAATCTCTTCATTATGTTCTCCTATAGCTGGACCATTGTCAACATCCTCCACCATAAAACCTTGTGAAGGTGCCCAAGCGCCTTCACCCGTGACAGCAACATCTTTAAACAAAATATCTAACTGGTCAACATGTTTCAATCCATGTGTTCGAAATCTTGCAACCTCAGGTTTCTCCTACAATAATAATATGAACTAACATTTTAAAAAATTGATATAATACTACAAATTAAGTATTAGCTTTAAGAAATAAAAATTTCACCTTTATTTTCTTATCCCACCATTCATCGGTAGCTTTGATTGTTTGCTTCACAGGATCCCATCCTAAGCCGGTCTCTTTTGCAACCAAACTTGTCCATAACTGCCATTCTTTCTTAAGTCCAGTCCATTTGTTCTTCAATTGTCTATAGTCATAGTTCCTTTTAGTAATATCATTAAACTTCTTTATAATATTTTTCCATCCAACCTTATTAAAATGACTACTTGGTCGATTACCACCTAACGTCTCAGCAACACAAATCTTGATGAAAACCTCAGTTCCCTTGTCATCCCATTTTGCTTTCTCTTGTTTTTCTTTTTCTTCCCGACTTTCATTTTGGGATGGGTTAACTATATTGTTAGACATTTTCTAATAAACAAATTGGACAAAGAAAAAAAAATTAATGATGATTGTACAATATAACAAGAAGTTTGGCTTAACATACAGGTATTTAAGACAAAGCACAAACAAAAGGAAATAAAAAAGAAGAAGCTAGTATCAAAGATGAAATGGGGGTGCACTCACACAACATGAAAACGTTTGCATTAGAAAAAGTGCTCAGATAGAACAACAAATTGAAACTAAGCATTAATACATAAACCAACAGTTCTGGTAAGTGTACGTGTCTCTATGCATGTATAGGTTTTGTGTTATTCAAATCATCACTAAAATCCAACAGTTTTTTCCTAATATCTATGTGTCTGTACGTGTCTCTCTCCCTCTATGGCAACCACATGGCATTGACATCATCGTGGAATGAAGATTGCTTTACACGTTCATCTATGTCATATTCTTATGTCTGATGTGGGGAAGGGAGCTCAAAACACATTAATATAACCCAAAATTGCAAACTAACCCATCTAAACAGATTGCAATATGAAATAATTCTTTCTATATCCTTCTATTATTGCAAAAGAAAGTGTTTATCTTGAAGAACAGAGAGAATTTACCTTGAAGAATGATAGCCTTACTTGCAAAGATTGTAGCAAGAGAGGGGGGAGCGAGAAGCTTTTGCAGAGAAAAAGAATAGAGGCAGCGACAAAGACGTGATAACTAGGGTGGATGAAACATGTGGATTGCTTAAAAATTGTAGGGTTAGGCTTTTTGGCCATATTGTAAAAATAATAGGGATAATATTGGTATTACAAAACTTTCATTAAAAGGAATCAAGTGATTCCCGGTTTTTTGAAAAAAACCACTTCCAGGGAGAAGCACCTCCCATGTGCTTCTCCCTAAAATCACTTCAAGTGATTCTAATACATATTTTAGGGATTATACTCAACAGATTCTGAGAGAGCCAAAATCACTTCCTGTTGAGTATAATCACTTTTGCTTAAAAAATAGGGTGTTTGCCAAAATCACTTCCTGTTGAGTATAATCCCTAAAATATGTATTAGAATCACTTGAAGTGATTTTAGGGAGAAGCACATGGGAGGTGCTTCTCCCTGGAAGTGGTTTTTTTCAAAAAACCGGGAATCACTTGATTCCTTTTAATGAAAGTTTTGTAATACCAATATTATCCCTATTATTTTTACAATATGGCCAAAAAGCCTAACCCTACAATTTTTAAGCAATCCACATGTTTCATCCACCCTAGTTATCACGTCTTTGTCGCTGCCTCTATTCTTTTTCTCTGCAAAAGCTTCTCGCTCCCCCCTCTCTTGCTACAATCTTTGCAAGTAAGGCTATCATTCTTCAAGGTAAATTCTCTCTGTTCTTCAAGATAAACACTTTCTTTTGCAATAATAGAAGGATATAGAAAGAATTATTTCATATTGCAATCTGTTTAGATGGGTTAGTTTGCAATTTTGGGTTATATTAATGTGTTTTGAGCTCCCTTCCCCACATCAGACATAAGAATATGACATAGATGAACGTGTAAAGCAATCTTCATTCCACGATGATGTCAATGCCATGTGGTTGCCATAGAGGGAGAGAGACACGTACAGACACATAGATATTAGGAAAAAACTGTTGGATTTTAGTGATGATTTGAATAACACAAAACCTATACATGCATAGAGACACGTACACTTACCAGAACTGTTGGTTTATGTATTAATGCTTAGTTTCAATTTGTTGTTCTATCTGAGCACTTTTTCTAATGCAAACGTTTTCATGTTGTGTGAGTGCACCCCCATTTCATCTTTGATACTAGCTTCTTCTTTTTTATTTCCTTTTGTTTGTGCTTTGTCTTAAATACCTGTATGTTAAGCCAAACTTCTTGTTATATTGTACAATCATCATTAATTTTTTTTTCTTTGTCCAATTTGTTTATTAGAAAATGTCTAACAATATAGTTAACCCATCCCAAAATGAAAGTCGGGAAGAAAAAGAAAAACAAGAGAAAGCAAAATGGGATGACAAGGGAACTGAGGTTTTCATCAAGATTTGTGTTGCTGAGACGTTAGGTGGTAATCGACCAAGTAGTCATTTTAATAAGGTTGGATGGAAAAATATTATAAAGAAGTTTAATGATATTACTAAAAGGAACTATGACTATAGACAATTGAAGAACAAATGGACTGGACTTAAGAAAGAATGGCAGTTATGGACAAGTTTGGTTGCAAAAGAGACCGGCTTAGGATGGGATCCTGTGAAGCAAACAATCAAAGCTACCGATGAATGGTGGGATAAGAAAATAAAGGTGAAATTTTTATTTCTTAAAGCTAATACTTAATTTGTAGTATTATATCAATTTTTTAAAATGTTAGTTCATATTATTATTGTAGGAGAAACCTGAGGTTGCAAGATTTCGAACACATGGATTGAAACATGTTGAATTCATGGATGCCTTAAGAATTCCAACACTGAAATTTCCACGTCCACCTACTGGTTAGTAATGTCATCAAGTTCAATATTTTCCTTTACTATTTCACCTTGGATATGTTTCTTATATCAATATTTTCCTTTACTGATTCACATATATATATATATAGGTAAATATTATCTGGTTGATGCTGGCTATCCACAAATGAAAGGATATTTAGGCCCTTATAGGGGTGAGCGATATCATCTTCCGGATTTCCGACGAGGAAGCCAACCAAGAGGGAAAAAAGAAATCTTCAATCACAGGCATTCATCTCTAAGATGCACAATTGAAAGAACATTTGGTGTTTGGAAAAACCGATGGAGAATGGTACGTCAAATTCATAATTTTCCTTTGGAAAAACAAGTACAAGTCGTTGTTGCTTCAATGGCTCTCCATAACTTCATAAGAATTCATTCAATGACGGATGTAGAGTTCCAACCATATGATGATGATGAAGAGTTACTTCCCCAAACAGATGACGGAAGGACTAGTACGGAAGAGACTATTGTACAAGAAAATGTAACTCGTGCACGAGAGATGGATGACGAACGCGAGAGAATTGCAAATCTTCTTATGTCTACTTGATATTTGTGTCGATTAACAATATGTTTTATTCACATTTCGTTTTCAAGAAGTATGATTTGAAGCTAAACAATCACTTTTTTCTTTGGGAAGCCAAACACTACGAATAACATCAAAATCACTTTTTTACAATATAAAAGCACTTTTATGTTGGTAGCCAAACGATAACTGATTTTGCGGAAAAGCGCTACTAACATAAAGTGATTATGTTAAAATCACTAATGAGTAAAATCGCTTCTACATAATCACTCCCAAACGAGCCCTTAAGCGCTTTTAAATTTTTGGCAAACACCCTATTTTTTAAGCAAAAGTGATTATACTCAACAGGAAGTGATTTTGGCTCTCTCAGAATCACTCCCAAACGAGCCCTTAGTCCAATATTTTGTTATTGATTGTCACCAATATTATTGTATTTTGCCGTACTTTTCTACCGACTATTTAACTGACTATTTAACTCTATAAAACCCAAGAAATTCTAGCCGCTGTCTTCCTTTGTGAATCCTATAAAGGAAAACTCCATAGATGGGGGAGGAGGAAGAAGCGTCACTCCCCCTCCTCCCCCTCCTTTCTTTTCGTCTTTTCCTTTTAGGTTAGTGAATAAGTTCACTGGAGCCCCTTGTGGTGATTTCTTTTGAGCCACGGTTAGATTGAAATTTCCCATCACCCCTTTTAGTCTATGTTCTCAATCAAATCTTGCTCTCAAAACCCGCTCCTTGACGTTGCTCATGTTCTCTAAATTTGATTCTACATTGTTTTTGACGGAGGTTGCTACAAATCACTCAATTGTTCTTTGGCGAAGTTGTTGTTTTCGTTTATTTGTTCACTCTTATGCGCACATAGATCTTTGGAAATCATATTTTCCCAATATCTATTACGGATGCGGTGGTGGGTGTGACCGCGACGGTGCTTCATTAGGTGGTGGTGGTAGGGTTCGTCTAAGCTCATGGGTTGTTTTAGGGTTTTGGTTATGTTGGGTTTGTGGGCTTAGTTTGGGCTTAGTTTGGGCTTATAGTTAATTGTGATGATGTGGGCTGGTAGTTTTAGTGCGACTTTTGTCCGTGTTAGTTGTGTTTTTAGCATGTTATTTTGTTGCCCCCTTGGGATTGGTATTTTAGATGTCTTGTTGATGTCCTTGATTGTATCGTTGAAGTTTATCTAATGAAGTTTCTATTTGATCCACACAAAAACTGAACTAAAATTTGTAAGCCTTTTTCTCTCCAAATTTCTCATGAAATTTTCTCAATTATAATTCAATTTACGATATAAAGTTTTCTTTGACATATGGAAGAGTCATTTGTTGACATAACTTGTATTTAAAAGTACTTAACATGGCCAACGAGGATTGGTTCAGTTGGTAAGGTCTTTGCACTGTGTAGCCCAACTAGCATTTGAGTTTCGTTGCCAGCAATTCTTGTTGGTAAGTCCTTCTGGCTTAAGGTTGTGGGTCTGTTTTATAGCAGGTGGTGACAGTAGCCAATCTCCCCTAAATTTTTTTTCACCCAAAAAAAAAACCTTAACATCGAATCATAGCACAACAACACACAAAGATTACAAGAAGAAAAGCATTAACCCACATAACAAAGCCAAGTTCAATTGATTGTGTCAAAGGGCTCATGTTCTATGTTTTGGCCAGTTAGACAGTACATTCGGAACACTCATTTTGTCTCTCAATAATTTAATTCAATTCAGTTATGACATATTCCGAGAGGTTAACTTCATAACTGATGCTCAAACAGAATTTGGACATTCGATAGAAGCAATTCATATACATGATAAAATAATTCCCTTTTATGTTACATGTGATTTTAGCTTTTTAATTTTGATAGAAAAAATTCAAGCTATTGTAGAGGGTTTGTGTTGTAATTTTCCTCTCCTTAGCAGAAAACAAATCTTATTCTTAATAAATTCTTTGGTTTACCTTATTTGGTCAAAATAATTATTGGTTACCTTAGAAGCAAAAATTGGGGAATATTTATGAATAAGGCCAAAAACATGAAGCAACAAAAGATGGAAACAAACAAAGCAACAACTATCTACTCCTCTCGACACCACCGCCCACTATATCAGTGGCACAAACAACACACAAGTGCAAGTGCAGAATCACAAATCAACATGCTCTTCTTCTTGCTAAATAAAACTGACCGGTAAGTAGTGAGCCCCAATCCATCATGGCAACGACGTCGTATTTCCAACTCCATCGGTGCAGTCCAATTCCACTCTCTCATTCCTCTCGTTGCTGTTGTCCCTGCCGTCCCTCGCCCTCCAAAACCCTAGTTCTCACTCGTCCGCGCGCAAAATTGTGTCATCTGGATCTCTTGTTCGACGGAAATAGACGTGCGCTGGGGCTTGGCCGAAATGGAGCTTTGGCTAGCCGCCGGCTAATCGCAGTCGCGGCTCGCTTGGCGAGGACAATGCCCACCAGGTACTAGAGAACAAAAGGGACGATTTTGATTCTTTTTTGTTTCTGAATTTTGGTTTGGCTGTGATTGGGAATGGCATTATGGTGAAAAATTAGGGTGGGAGTGATGTGGTGGAAGGTGGCGGTGAATTTGAATGTCAGTTGTGGTTTTGGCGCTGAAAAGGAACTTGCTTTAATGGCTTAGTGTGTTGGTAGTGATATAAAGCTTGGAAAATGGAATTTTTTGCTCATTATTGGTAATGTTTGTGAGATAATTGGGCATAATTTGACCGTTTAATGGTATTAAGGCAATGCATGCTAATAATTTCAAAGGGTCTTGAAATCGTTTCACGGGTAATGTTACAAATGTGAAATTTTTTAAGGGGCAGTCTGCTTGATTGAATTTTACTTCGAAATTTATATTCTTTTTTGAGAGGTTGCATGTTTTTATTGAAGCAATGTACTGAAATGCGTATGTTGTAGGAAGTCCACAAAGGCCATAAATTGTCAACGAATGAGGATGCGGTCTCAGAGCATCAACAGAAAGCCAGTCAGTTAAAGAAAAGAATTTTTTTTGGACTCGGAATTGGGTTATCTGTGGGCATTGTTGTGTTGGCTGGAGGATGGGTATTTACAGCAGCTGTGGCAGCTGCTGTCTTTGTTGGCGCACGCGAGTATTTTGAATTGGTTAGGAGTCATGGAATTACTGCAGGGATGACACCTCCACCTCGATATGTGTCACGAGTTTGCTCTGTTATTTGTGCTCTCATGCCCCTAGTTACCTTGTAAGATTGGTAACGTGTCTCAAATATTTTGTAGGACTGTAGCCGGGAATTTTTTGATAATATGCTTACTCTTATTTCCATTTGAAAACATGCAAATTCAGTTGGAAGCTGGAAATAAAAATGTAGTTATATCCAGATTCCTTATAATTTTCGTTTGTTATAGAAGTCATGTTCCTGTACTCAGTGTTAAGAAAATTGGACCAAAGAGTAAAATTCGAATATGTAAGATAGCGAATCAGGTTAGGACCAATTTTAGGTGTCTGTACCTTCCATTTTATCATTGCACCCTCCTGTTGAAAAAGATAAGGGATGTGATTCAGGTGTATTACATTGAAATCCTAGGATTGTCACTTCAATCAATCTGGATATGGTTGTGGAAAGTATTCATTATGCTCATGTAAGGCAAAAAGCCTTAACCTTGTTTCTGATTTCTTCCAACTAAAGAGCTGTAGAAAATCTATATCTCCTTTTCATGGTTGAACTGTTCATTTCTTGTTCAATTTAACTCCTTATGCTACTTAAACTTACATTTTACAGATATGTTTGGGATGGGTATAGGAATTTTGAGAATTGAACCTGCATTAAGTATTTATTCACTGCCTTATTTGAGTGTCTATGCTGATGCTTTTTCATTCATCTTGTTTTCAAATATGTTTCATTTGGAAGAAAAAAAAAAAAACAGTTTTGTCTTAATAATGTACTATTTAATCCTAGAATTTTGGTTTCTTTTGGTGGGAAATGTATGCAAATGATTTTTCTCTCTCTCTCTTTCTTTTATCAAATTTTGTATAGGCATGAAGTTCGTTTTTGGATACGTGGTCAATAATGATCTCTGATTAGAACTTCTGATGCATGGGCAGGTATCGCGGTCAAATTGATGTTTCCGTGACATCTGCTGCCTTTTTTGTTGCTATGGCATTGCTTTTACAGAGAGGAAATCCTCGCTTTGCACAGCTTAGTAGCACAATGTTTGGGCTATTTTATTGTGGATATCTTCCTTGTTTCTGGGTTAAGCTTCGATGTGGCCTAGCAGCACCAGCCCTAAACACTAGTAAGAAGTTGGGTTTACATATTTATACTGGAAATTGAAGAATAGGGGGATTTTTCAAAATGGGCACTGACTTTGGTGTTCTATGTCAACCTTTGGTTCCTAATTATTTTGTTCTTTGGCAGGTTTTGGATCAGCATGGCCCATCCTTCTTGGTGGACAAGCTCACTGGACTGTTGGTCTTGTGGCAACCTTGATTTCTTTCAGTAGCATAATTGCTGCTGACACTTATGCTTTTCTGGGTGGCAAGGTATCTAGGCTCTTGAAATTGCTCTGCAGTACATTTACTCTCTACTTTCTTTTTTTCTTTTTTTTTCAAGAATATACCTTCTCTTATCATGAACTTTTTGTAGAGCTTCAGTTACTGCATCTGGAAATTTTTTTTGATACTTTGTCCTATAGGTATCATAGTCCCAATTCTTATGAACCTGCCATGTAACTAAGGCTTCAGGGTGGGTTTTGTGAGCTCTCCCAACAGATGGCTCCTAATTGGACAGTCACCATTGCAGTTATTAACTTATTATAGATATGCTGGCGCAGTGTGCAATCCAAGTTCTTTTTATTTATTTTGATTGGTGTGCAAAATCCAAGTTAAACCATGAAAGTTCCTAAAAATTGAACCTTCAAAATTCCTGGGTTATATATGTGCAACTGCTGGTACTTATCCTGCAAATTTTCACGTTTCAGAACTTTTACTTTCCATTTTCAAACAGTTTAGGGAGGGTTTAATATGCTCTTTCCTCTTATAAATCAATTTTTAGATTGTTAATGT